ATAGGTTTGTTCTTCAACACTCTAGAACACCCACATACATATACCCATATAACTCTCTATCTCTCTCTCTCTCTCTCATGCTTCACCGCTAAAAAAAGAAGTAGATTCACATCCCATCTGCATTTTGCTTACGTTTAGTAGCAGACTTTTATGATAAATTAAACACACACACATACATTTATCGATGTCGCTATATTCAACACATACGGACAAGTCTAGATGAACTCATGAAGTCTAAATCATTTTTACCCAAATATGAAGCATTTTTCGTTTCACCCAGCCACCAACATGTTTTAGCTCCACCCCGCCACCACCATCACCCCTAGTCACAGTCGCCACCCTCTACCGGAAGACATTTAATCGCCCCTCTAACTCCCATCCAAATTCTTGTAACCGTCTTGCCTTCTTCCTATTTATGGTTTCAATTTCCACTTTGTTCTCCACCGTCACCTAGGCCTGGCAATTAGGGTGTGTTCAGGTTAGCGGATCACGGGTTGGTGGATCAGAATACATTAACCCAACCCAACCCATATGATATATGGGTTAATGGGTTGGAAACATCAACCCAACCCAACCCACATAACACGTTTAAATTTTTATTTTTTAAATATAATATATATAAACGGGTTGGCGGGTTGACCCGCAAACCCAAACAGGTAACCCAACCCAACCCATATAATATATGGGTTGGCGGATCAGAAATATCAACCCAAACCCATTTATTTTCGTGTTGGGTTACGGGTTGGATGGAGAGTTGCCACCCCTACCGTCACCCCCAATAGAAAACCCTAAACACACACTAGATACCTGAATTGGTGGTTGTAGGGTTAAGGTCACCCTACCGGATACCTAAATCTGGATCTAAAGTCTCTATCGGACTTTATCAGAAACGTACATCAACGACTTCTCACTCAGGTAGGTAGGTGGCAAAGGTGCTTTAGCGTTGGAGCTACTGCTAGACGTTAGTCCAAGTCTTAGGGCAAAACAGGAGAAACCTAATTTGAGTTCACGACAGTCGGGCTTCTTGGTATTGTCGGCGTCGAATGTAACTGATTTTGGGCAATCGGATATTTAGGGGTTTTATTTACTTAAGCAAAAATGAGAATTGAGAAATGAGAAGTAAAAGAGAGTGCATTAGCAGTAGGAGAGAGATAAAGAGGTAGAGTGATCGAAGAAGAAGGCCAATTGTCTTTATCTTTTTTTTTTTAATTATATCATTTAAAAAAAATTCATTAAGTTTATATTGGTAATTTCACAAGGGTTTAGCATAAAATGTTAACAGAGTTAATCAAAATGACCGGTAGTGAGACAAATTTAAAACTAAAAAAATCATTTGTGTACAAGGTTTGCTCTGTAGGAACCATCAATGCAAAAAAGGTTTCATAAGTAATATTATAGGGACAAACTGAAAAGCTTAAAGATCATATGTAAAATTTTTTCTATAATATACTTTGTTGATGAGAACACTAGTAATCTCGCCACATATTGGTTTAATCTGATAACTCATCTTTTCTTGTTTAGTCAGAATTTATAATATGTACCCAAATAACCCATATCCAAATTACCCAACATGAATAACTCGAAAACGAAATAACCCAAACCTTAATGGGTTCCATCGGTTACCTATACCCCAAAAAGCGAATTACCCGAGCCCGATAACCCAAAAACCAAATAACACCATAAGTCTTCCAATGGTTTTTTCCCAACATGTTGAGTAATGGCTTACCGTTTAATAGTAGTTTCACATTTATTCACACATTTGTTACAATAAAAACGGAGGCAATGCCAAATATAAGACAAAATAC